CAGCTCAGGTTGATACTGAAATTTTGCTTTCATTATTTCCAACTCTACTACTACCTATACCCACTGATCTCTAGACGGTGATCTAGGCAGAAATTTAGTGCTCTTATGTGGCACCATTATGTGTTGTCTTAATAGGTGTAGGATACAAATGCCTCAGGTTTTGAAAGGCAGCTTCCCTTGAGTGTGGTAGTTTAATGGGCTATCAAAACATGTAGACATCTATGTGCTTAGTGAGCTCTACATGGAAGTTTATATCAGCTTCCTCAGACATCGAAGGGACCATAAAAGATTGTTAGCTCAGGTTAACTGCATCATCTCTGCGTATCGCCCAATTCGTCAGAAATGGAGCTCAGAAATGGAGAGCAATGTGAATTGAAAAAAAAAAACTCTAGATCGTCTCTTTAATTAAAAATATTATCTATATTTTTTTGATAAATACTTCTAACATGTAAAGTTGGCTTTGGATGTTTCCAAAGATTCACCGACCTCTGGAGTCCCAAGGTGTTACACTGACTCGAGAGTCTTAATTCCCAGTTGTAGCCTCTCTACGACATGGATTTGGAAAGCCCTTAAATCCTACTATGCCACAATTGGATATTCATGAAATCTTTCTATTTCCTGAGTTTCTTAAAAGCAGGCCCACCTGTCTTACATAACCTAAGCCAACTTCAGAATTATCAAAGAGAAAAAATTTGTTCAGAAATCTCTCAGGGAATCTGAAAAGTACCATATTAAGACTATTACAATGATATTAAACTTACAGCAACTTTTAATGAAAAATGTGCTCTATGAATAAAATCTTTAAAAACTGAATGTAGAAATATTGTGTAATAAACCAATTTGCTTTAAAATACTTAAAATATATTAATGTTTCTCCAAGACTGTACATAAAAATTTTACTCTTGGCATTTAATTTTAAAAAAAGTAAATATTGAAAACAGCCCTGAACACTAAATGCTCAGAATAAATTTTGGCTATTAATCATTCCCTCCTCTTTCTCATATTTCAAAATAACTATAAAACATTTTCTCATAAACATTAAAGTATACAAAGGTGGCTTCTGACAATGTTCTTTATTTTATGTAATTGTGTTGTTTTTGAAATATAATGCTTTGAAAAACTGATGTATACTTAACAACAGTGTCTACAAAATCTGAGTATCTTTAATCAGAACAAAATACACATTCTGTACTGTAATCTCCCAACATCCAGATGATAAAAATAGAGCTGAAGAGTCTGTAATCAGAGCCCAAAAGTTCTTTAGGAATGAACAAGTAGTGGACAGGAAAAGGAATCTGGTTATGATGGTATGTCTAATGCTTTCTTATAATTTAACAAGAAATTTAAAACTGTCAAGGTTCTGGCTCACTTCTAGACTTCTTAAAATTATCAACAAATTAGAAATAACCATGACGTGGACTATTGGTTACTATATTAATATTACCATTATCTAATTATTTAATAATTATTTTGCATGCTATTTAATTGTTCATAAACAACTTTCTCGTTTGCCTTTCAAAACAGCTTAAGAAAGGGTCCATTCACCATTTACTTTGTTTTAGGTAGTTTGTATTTTCTTTTTCTAATTGACAAAAGTGTTCCTCCATCTAATATATGTAAAATGTTGCTAGAACTGTATAAGACACAGTAACTCTGCCTACTACATCTTGTGTCTACCCCACTTAACAACATTGTCAATTACAAGGCCATTTAAACATAATTCTGTGACTCAATAATTTTTACAGTCTAAAAAACCCCTGCAAATAATGATTAGGTTTTCAAAAGATTTTAACATTCAGAATTAAGGAAGTCTAATGGTTACAAAAAAATAAATAAAATATTTTAAAAGTTTAATAAACTCTCCTTATGGCAATAATTAACTTGGACATTCAATCTAAAAATTACATTTTCCTTTGGTCAGTCTTAAATCCACTTCTATCCTAAGGCAAAAACATGTATGATCAAACAATAAAGCTAGAGCTATTTGATTGACCTTCCAAAAGTTCTGAGTTAATATTTATTTATTTAGCCACTTTAGAAATACAGAAATTCTTCGTAAAAGCAGTTTGTTGATTATGCCACTGTGCAGTGAGCTGGGATCCAACATGTCTATCACTGCTCAGTACTCAGGTGCTTTGGGACTTGGTATACAGAAGAGGGAGCTTGAGAAGCCAACCAGTGCTCGGCACTTCTGCTTTCTGACCCCGCCTATTCCCTCTAATACTACTTGCACTCTAAGGCTGCTCAGAGCAGGTGGCTGCTAATGTATGAAGATAGTTGAGAAAGATATTCATGAAATGAATATTTATGAACAATCCCAATCTTCGCTTGAAGTGTGAGGCAAAAATAAATTTTAAACAGAGAGAACCTTAGGAATCACTGATCTAAGGCACCATCTTTTAAATATTTACAACCTTCTTATGTTACTTCTGAAATCCTTTAATCTGAGGTGTGGTAAAATAAATTAAGAGAGCAAAACTAAATCTGCCAGAGAATCCTGATAAATTCTCTTTTGGCACAAGCAAACCAGTCATTAACTAAACAGTTTCCTCATTTTTGACCAAAAGTTTTTCAAGTAAAGGTAAACGATTCTATTATTTAACTGAAATCAAGTCTGTGGCTCTCAATAAATGATGATGGTGAAATCTTTCCTTGTGTTTATTTCAAAATTTTTAAAAAACATTCTGCTCAAATTACTGAAAGTTAGTTTTAAGAACTGATATGTTTCAGATTAATTCTATACAGACATTTTGTGGCTTTTGTTATGGCTTCACAGATAAAACAACAGTAGAAATATTGCTTCTAATAGTCTAAAATTCATTATAGGGACTATAGATTTCTACTCCTTTTCGATTGCCACTTCTTGCTGTTATTAAAATGAGTTCACTTAACTCATTCGGTATCTTAAGAGTGTGGAGTTTTAAGTTAATATTCTTTATTTTTTAGAAAAGTTTTAGCTTTATGGAAAAATCATCAGAAACAGTCTTCTTCCCTTCTGCACCTCATACACATGCACAGTTCCTGTTACTGACATTTTGCATTCAAGCAGTACCTTCATTAGTATTGATGAGCCAATATCCATTTATTATTAACTAAAGTCCATAGTTTGCACTGCAGTTCAATTTGTGTTGTACTTTCTGTGTATTTTGACAAAAGTGTACTGACATGTATCCACCCTTACAAAGTCACATGGAATAGCTTCACTGGTGTAATAGAAAACGCATTTGAATTGTTTTCTCAGATCATCATCTCAGTACCCTTCCTCCCAGAAATTCAAGTGTGTACAGTCATTCCATTTTCTTCATTTACAGTGAATTTAATTACTTTGTTTCATAAACTAATTTCTCTCAGTGGATTTTACCCAGGACCATGATGTCAGAAATAATTCTACATAATGAAATTGTTACTCATGAGAGGATTCATAGCCATTGTAACTCAGATAATCCATAAATAAGAGAAGTTAGAATTTAAAGCTCCACAATAACTGTTAGTATAATTTATTCTGTTAGATTAAATTAGCATGGAAAAATTCTACTCACCAGGTTAAAACTACTTGGAAAGTTGAGCAAGGTGAACCAGAGTGCTGACTTTACTTCTTAATGTTAGACTTGCAGAAAATCTTCTTCTCCTTCTAATCAATATCTTATACAATATCACAGCACAACATCACAGTTGTAACACCAGAGAGAAAATATTAACAGTAATACTATGTGACCCTGCATAGATATTTAATATTTCTGAATCCCAAATTCTTCATTTAATAATATAAAAATGATGTTTTCTTAATTTTAAATGTCTGCAATGATCAATTTATATACCATATATCAAAAATGATTAATATAGTGCCTGAAAACAGACACTCATGAATATTTGTTACTCTTCATATTATTATTATATTATCATTGGAATGGTTATTATACAATGTAGATACAAAAAAGAAACTGACCATAGAAATAGCTGCCTGCATGTCAGGCAAAAATTATCAGGAGATATATCAAAACTTCCATCTTAGATATAACATTATTTGTATATCCAATAAAGTTCAACTCAAAAAATATTCATTTAAATCTCTCCTGATTTCTTTCTGGGTTAGTATGACATGCATCTATTTGCTTATCTAATCATGGATGTAGTTCAAAATATAATTAGTCTTTTAAAATCAAATGACCACCAGGCATGTGGAATACTCCGGTAATCTCAGCCTTCTAGGAAGCTGAGGCAGAAGAATCTCAAGTTAGAGTCCAATGCTGGGCATTTATTGACTCTGACTCAAAATAAAATAAAATATATAAGAATGTAGCTCAGTTTGAAAGTCCTCAGTTTAAGCACAGAAAGAGAGAGAGAGGGAGAGAGAGAGAGAGAGAGAGAGAGAGAGAAGCTACACGATTGATAGAAAAGAATGCATTTTCAAAACCCACCATTCAGCATCAGTAGTAAAAGCACTGATACTCTAAAAAGCTCCAAATCTCCTTTTCCAGTTTATAAATTCAGAGGACTGTAAACAGAGGTGTGGTAAATGTAATAAATGGACTTTCAGTACAAGCTACACATGGTAATCAATGTATGTGAGAAGAAAGGACCAAATAAGTATTAGAGAAGAAATATTCCATTTTGATAGTCACAGTACTTTTCTCTGTTAGATCAGGAAGTTGGAGACATGTTATTTTAATAAATAAAGTAAATTATTTAGAAATGAGTATTAGTGTTTAATTGGTCTATCAACATTTAAATGCTGAACAAATATATTACTCAACACAAATAGTAGCTGAGTACAATTCTACATTAAAGAAAACCAAAAGTATCATTAATAATTTGATTAAGCTAATGGGTAGGAAGAGGAATGGAACCTAGGATATCTGATTATAAAGACTTGGTTCTCAATTATTATGTTATGCTAGGAAAGAAAAATACATGAGAATTGAAGGGATTTGTCTAAAACCCAGATCTGTCCTCTTCTGTTCATATTCATGGAAAAAATGCAACACCCATGAGTCACTTACCTTTTCTTTTAATTGAGATGCTTTGAGATTACTCTGAGGGTCAAATGGAAGGATTCTGAAGGCTAAAAGAAGAAATGCAAGGTATTAGAATTTTAGAACCACTGTTTTTTAAATTATTTTAATCGAGGGACCCTGTATAGTGCTACAGGACTCATTTCATTTTGATCTAGCCTGACATGAGTCTATATTAGAACATAACAGGCTGGAAAAGTACTATGAATGGAGTGTGTATGTGTGTGTGTGTGTGTGTGTGTAGGAATTAATCCTTTAGAACAAGATAGATAAAAAGCTTGGAAACTTTCCAATTTGACATTCATCATTAAAATATCTTCCCATGGCACAAAGCAAAAGTTCCACAAGTGACGGACATGATTATATTATAATCTTTACATTTTCTTTCATTTTCAGTATAAAAGCTTGCATATGGATGCTCTTATCGTTTACAAGCTTAAACTTAGCATATCAAATTTTATTTCCCCTTTACAAAACAACTTGTGAAGTCCAAAACAATGGTAATGTAATTTCAAGTCACTTTGAGAATTTCCTGGAGGTTGCATTTTACTTCTTACACTCAGAAACATGAATTCCCATTTTCAGAAGAAAAAGCAATTGGAGGGAAGCCCACAGGAGGTGTAGAAGGATACAGGGCACTGTTCTTTCTCACACTCTCATCACCACAGAACAGGATGCCATTCAGTCCTACTTCAGGATTATTTATGCTAAAATAACTATTTCACAGCAACATTTTGAAACACTTAATCTAATCTTATCAAACGTTAGTCTGTGAAAGTCCAGATTTTACCTTCTACAGAACCTATGGTTTTGTGCTAGTAAAAATGAGCTTTAAAAAAAAAACACTGTTTTCCATTTATTTGATACTGCTTTTTTTCCTATTGTTTTAATTAAGATAGAGACAGTCATTCACAAAGTTGCTACTAAAGCAAAACTGATTTAACAACACGGAAATTCTAAAAACCATCAAAATGCTCATCTTCATTATTAAAATGCAGTGATCAGATACATTTTTATTCCCACTCTCTGATGTCTAGATCATTGACCCCAAATTGAGATTTCACCAAAAAATAATTATCATTTGTCATCATTGAACCTGGAATGTCTAACCTCTAAGGAAATGAAATTGAGCCAGAACAATTGAGATCTTCCCAGGGAAGATAGGTAAATAGCTTCTAGAGGCACATAATATTTTTAAAAACTAAAAGGTAAGCTGTAGTTTTCATTTTGAAAAACATATTCTAAAGGTATTGGGCAAATGGGAGGGGCAGGGGAAAGGTTAAAAGGGAAGAGCAAAAATAAGAGAAAAGGAAGAAATGGAAGCAAAGACTTTGGAAATAGAGAAGGGTGGAGGGGGAGGGAGAGGCTAGGGGCATGGGGAAAAGTAAGAATCAAGATCTGTCATGCAAAGGTACAAGACCCCAATGATGAATGTAGCTGTACAGTTTATCTAAAATGTACCAATTAAAAATATTTGTAAAAAACACAATCTGTCTAAGGAATAGCATTAACCCTTAACTTCAGGCATACCTATTTTTACTAAAGCTAAATGAAGTGGAACATAGGAACGATGTTGGAAAACTTCTAATCTTAGGACTACTCAAAACATTGTATTTACCATAATAATATCACCTATATAATTTAATATCTGACTTCCCCAAGCTCCTTTCTTGTTAAACTACAGCAAATAGGATTTGATTCTGATGTTTATATTCTGAAGCCTTCATCATTCCTTAATTGTACAACTTTAGTAGTGGATTCTCCACACCTCCAAAGAAAATCAAATAGAGTGACTTCTAAACCATGTGTGGAATAATGATTTTGCTATGGGACGCGTAACTCCACTGATGCTCCAGACTATTCCCTTCCATAGGAGACAAAGACTCTCCCATCTGTCTCTTCTGATCTTGCCATTTCTTCTGTTCACACTAGTTCATCCTGTTCTCTCTGCTTGTCTCGAAAGTAAAGCTATCTCTCAATGTACTGTTTGGTTTTTATTCTGTAACTCTTGCTTTGTGCTGAGAATCTACTTCCAGGAGCGACAGGAATGAAATCTGAATCTCCTGTTTCATCAACTTTCCAAATCTCTGGTTTGTATTTCCCGCACCCACTTGGATGTCACATCGTCCTTTCTCTTGCTTTTTGCATTTTCAGAGCTGCAGGCATTATTTTCTGCGTGAATCGGTGCCTTCTCTGGATTTCCCTGACTCTATCAAGGCCATCCCGTGTCCACCCATCCGTCCTTTTGTTTTCTCCCACCGAAGTATACTGTTAGCGTAGCATTTTCCTTGAACTACTTTGTAGATTTTAAAAACAGATTTCCTGAACTCTTACCATGACCATCTAACTGTTATTCTACCAAATCCAATCATTCGTATACCTTCTCTGACTAAAACGATGAAACAAAAGTGGTCATGTTGCTACCTCGACAGTGATCTTCGCTACCTCTATCATCAGTCCTTTCTTTTCTGTGTATTTTTTACTTGTCTATATTTTAAAGACATTGAATTTCTTACCTTCCCCTCAACCACTGTGAGTTCTCTTCCTGTCCTTCTCTTTCCAACCCTCTACTCATTCTTGAAAGCTCCACTTAATTGTCATTTCGCATACATTTCATACCCCTAGAACTCACCGTGTTACTTCCTCTTTGATCCTACAGTAATTATTTAGTCTTCCATAACATTTATTATATTGGGTTTTGTACACACACCTTCACTGTTCTATGTGTGCTATGCATGTCCTAATACAAAACAATCTAAAGATTCTGTTTTATGTTTGGTTTGATTTAGTTTGGTCCTAGGGATTGAATCCCAGACTTCATGAATGTTAACTATGCTCTCTACCACAGTGCTACCCGCTCAGCCTATAAAATAATTCATATAAATTTTCTTTTGAATCATATTCAATGGACATCACTGTATAATAACCTACATTCTCTTTTAATATATTATGTTTCAATTATGTAAACATTTCATAAACAGTTTGGCCATTTTGATACAATTTGATTATGATTATTAAGTTTGGATTTGATTTGTTTTATTTTGTTTTGTTTCTATTATTTTTCTGTGGAAAAGTTTGTGATTGAACTAAAATACACCAAGCTCCTGTTGTTTTGGAATCTGTGTTTATTTTATGTTATGTCTGTATTGATAGCCTGTCATGCTTTCAATTCATACTGCTCATGTTGCAAGTTTCTGCAGAAGGTGGTACCCTGAACCATACAATTGGTTTTTACGAGAATACCAGAAAACCAACTTAGTAATTCTGCATACAGTAAAAAACAAATGGTGACCTAGGGCTTTCTTAGGAAGCAAAGTATCTGAACTTTAATATGTCAACTATAATTTCTTTTTTGAATCCAAAAAAAATATTATGCATTTTTTCTATTTGTGGTTTACAGTTGTGACAAAAAAATAAAGAATATAGTTCTAAAATGTATTCATTCATATATCAACATAAAACCACACTAATTGATTCCATTAGACATTAATTTCTGTACTTTCTTTAGATTAAAATGGTGAAAATCCTCTACCCTCAAAGAACTGGATAGAGCTGACAAATATTAAATAATGTGACTACACAGGAACCAGGAACGGATAAGAGGTATAAAATCAAGATTCTGAAAAAAAATTTAAAAATAAAAATAAATAAATAAATAAAAATTGGGGGCCGGGGATTTAGCTCAGCAGCTCTCTGGCCTGCCTTGCAAGCTCAAGGATCTGAGTTCAATCCCCCATACTGAAAAAAAAAAAAAAAAAAAAAGATTCCGTATTTCTGTAGAAGGTCATAGGAAAAGGGATTAGTAGGTGCCTTGTTAAAGGGGCCTGATAAAAATATTATATTATACATTTTTGCACTCAATCTCACTTTTGGGAGAAAGAAAGCCTATGGAATATGTAAATTTAAAACAAAATATTTTCTTGGTAATCCTTGCCTTTTCTCTCTAAGCTTTTACAGAAACATACTGTAAGAAAGAAAAGAAAACCCCTACACACACACACACACACACACACACACACACACACACGCACTTTCTAAGTTTGACTAAGGAGAGAAGTTAAAAATCTTCAGAGAGGAAGTAAACTCTGAGTTGAATGTTGACGAGTTGGTTGTCCACTAGCCTTCTATAAGAAGGAAGTCATATCTAAGTCTACAGAGACATTAGCAATTTAGTAATTGGTGCCAGACTTACATTGAGACACAGGGAAGAAAAGCAGAGCAAGCAAATGGAAAGCTAAACAGTGACATATACTTTATAAAACTGAACATTTCATGATAAGGCGAGGCAATTGGGACATCTGTAGCTAATTTAAAGGTGGATAATTTCACATTCACTACTGTTCATGACATCAGTAGGGAAAATATAATACGAGCAGTCACTGCCATGGGTTGTCACTGAAATTCTGTGTTGGATTATTGTGAGAATGAAGTCATTGAAAATGTTTAGAGGAATAAACAACATCTCTGTAACTTCTGATTTCTCAAAGATATTTAAATTTCCAAGTGCAGGTATAATATATACACTGTACGGAAAAGGTGAAACAACTGCTTTGTTACTACCAAGTAAATTTTCACAATTATCCACTGGACAACTTTTATTAGGAATATTTATCCAAAGTAGGATCATACCCTGTTATTGGAATCACCTAATGATTTTGAATATTCAGAAACTACTAGCTCGTCAGTTATTCCATAAGGATCCTCACGATAACTTTATGAGAAACATCCTGTTATTCCCTCTTATTATCAACATAAGGTAGCTAAATTTATAGGTTAAATAACTTCCTTAGAGTCTCACCATTTTTAGGTAGCACACCTGAGCTTTTCACCCAGATCTGACTGATTCTCAAGTAGAAACTCCTCTTCATTCCTGTGATGTTGACTGTATGGATTCATAATTTTGCTGCTTCAGTGAACAGAGCAATGCCAAACCAAAAACGCCCAGAATGGAGGATGATATCATAGTTTACATTTACTTTATATACAGTGGCCCTCCAAGGAATGTACACTAACTATCTTTTAGGGCATTCTCTGTATTAAGAACAATTAC